GTGGGTGTCGTTTGGATCTGGCTGCTGTGCTCTACTTCTTTCTGCTGTGCTCTACTTCTTTCTTATCACCTGTTGTTCTAACCACTTCCCCTTCACGGTTGGTGAAGAAAGGATTTCCACATCCCCACTCCTAAAAAATATAGGAGACAAATCCCCACACCAGACAGATGAGAAAACAACAATTTCATCGTCACATTGTCTCGCTGCTCAGGGAGAGGACACCATGTATGGTGATTTATTCCTATAACAAAAGGAGGAATGGGAAAGTCAAGCTGAGCTTAACAGGTAAACAGGTGAAAATGCACACCAGAGGCACTAGTTTCCTAGGGTTATGATTATACATTATGACAACTTTCCTGGCTTAAAACTGTAGAAACTTATTCATTCACAATTCTGGAGGCCAGCAATCCAACACTGTGATGTGAGCAGAGCCACAGTGCTTTTGGACACTCTGGGGGAGAAGCCCTTCCTGTCCTCTCCTGGCTTCTGGGGGCTGATGGCATTTCTTGGCGTATGTTGGGTTTTGGTTGCCCTACTCCAGTCTCTACTCCTAACTTCTCAAAGCCTTCCTTGCGCATGCATGTGTGCATGTGGGTGTGCGCATGTGTGTGGCATATGGTGTTGACTCTCTCTTTACCATTTTCTAATAAGGAACCCAAGTGGGCATCCAAGACCCACTTGAACAGTTCAGAATCATCTCATCTTAAAATCCTTAACTTAATCTTATACGCAAAAATATTTTTTGCAAATAAAGTAACATTTACTGATTCCAAATCTCAGGGACATGAAATCTTCAGAGTCCTCATGCAACCCATTGAATTACATGGTCCCATATCTATGAGATTCTAAAAGAAATAAAATTAACCTACACTTTCAAAAAGAAGTGGTGATTTGAATAACTAATTTGAAGGCAACAATATACAATGTAACAACCATTGTTGAATTCCTACCATCTTCCTATCATCTTCCTACCATCTAGTGAATTTCTGTATCCTTTCTAATGCATTTGTATTATATTTAGTCTCTTCAAAAAATCAAAAGTAGTGACGGTGGCTGGGAATGAGAAGAAAGAGGAGGAGGTGGTGGCTGGCTGCAGAGAATATGTACAGCCTTCTGGGGGGCAGGAAACACTCTACCCCAAGGCAGTGGTGACAGTCACATGAGTGTATAAACTCACCAAGTTGTGCCTTTACAATGGGCACATCTTACTACACATAACTGAAGTTCATAATGAAAGAAAGTGTAGACCTGGAGAAACAATCTTGGAAAGCCTGAGTCAGCAAGTCTAGGTTGCATTTTAAGCAAAATATCCAATACCCTCTGGAGAGAGGG